CTATTAAATGTTTATTTTATTATGAATTCTGGGGTTTTTACCGGTAATACAGATTTTTAATTCAAAAGGTTTTTCATAATTATAAATTTGTCATATCATAGAAATTGAAAACATAAATCTAAATAGGTATGCGCAACGATTTTTCATATAGGAATATTCGTTGTGTCTATTTATAGCATTTCGCATATTGTGTGGTGTATTTTTCTTTTTCGAAGTTATACTTTTCGATGTTCCTTCTTGTGGAATTACAAATTAGTACTCAAAAAGTTTTCATTTAACATTTGCTCCTTCTCTACTCTTCAACATTCTCTGGTTTTACCCATAGGATCAATGTGTTGTAACATGTGTACGCAATATTTTTCAAGCAAATTGTTTTAACGTAATGCAGTTTCTGGTAGTTGCGACTTGCTGAGTGGTTCTTCTGTTCATTAATCGATCAGAATTAAAATATATCGATTAGTTTTTAAATGTCTTATCGTGCTATCACAAATGAATTAAAAGAAACGAACAGCTGTTGATAGCGAACTTTTGTGTTTTTGTGTAACAGAATAAAACTATTTTATATTTCGGGAATTGACAAAATATTTATAGTTTTTTAAGCAATTTTACCTATCGAGAATTGATAGAACATTATATCTAGGAATAAGAAAGATAAACATCAAATTATCAGTATTTATTATCGAAGGATACAAAGTGTGTATGTCAACCATCTTAAACTGCGATATTATGGAAACACTACTTCGGGCTGCTGTAGGGCTTAATGATTTTGTACTTGAAGTTAATAGACCACCTTGCTCTAGGGAAACGCGGCTGTCATGGTTTACGGAACGTGAATTGACACAAAATTTGCAACATCACATTTGGGATCGCGAATCTGGGTTTAACCGATATAACAGACGTGGTTATATGCCTGTACTAACGCATGAGCAGGAGTTTTACAAAAGCTTCACACCCAATTTAAGTATATTGAATGTTGGATCGACACTTGGTTTTATACGAAAATTCACACCTGATGGCAAGCTGCTACTAAGCTTCTCTGTTGAATACAATTGTTTATGTGTATATAAATATATTGGCGTTGGAAGAGTTCAACATGCTTTATATGGTATAGTGGACGATGTGGTGCAAGCTACGGATCAAACTGGTGTATTACTTGCTAAACAATTATTTCCACTACTTTGGACAATACCAATATTTCCTGATAATCAAACTGATTGGCAATTACATCGTGAATTTAGCATTTTCATTAATGAGGGACGTTATGTATTGATAGCCACCAAAAATATAATGGCTCATTCTAATATTCCGCGCCAATATTATCTGAACTTTCCCGATCTATATGATGATTCTGACATTTTTGATTTCGCATTTCATTTGATAGATTTACAAAGGGGTGTAATAAGTGATGTTTATAGATTACGTGATTATGTGTTTTTGTCGCATAATTATGGTGTCTCAATTGCCGGTAACACAATTGCAATATTGTCACGGTGCCGTCAATGTATTGACGTATTGGAAGTGCGTGAAGGCAAATTTTATGTAAAATATCAAGTAAATAGGGAACAGGAAACAACAAGAAGAGAAGAGCTGGAACATGAGTTACAAACAAACGGTGTACCGGAGCCGTTTATGAAAGGAATATATTCACCACTAAAGCAACATTGTTTGTCATACTTGTACAAAGAAGCTATAAATAATGAAATTGAAAGACTTGCAAAATTACGTATATTCTATAAGAACTTTAAAGCTGTAAGTTTTAAATGAAATAATTTTTATATTTTATTTATTAATCTTTGTTACTTTTTTAGTATGAAGAAATGTATATTACGAAAATGCAACTTATGGATGAAGACACTCTGCTAATACGCTATGAAATCCCAAAAAGATCAACGTCCTACGAAGCCGCTAATGAAAATTATACTTCACACAAGCCTAATTTCAAATTGTTTGTATTTTATTCAATATCGGAAGATTCAGTATTTAGAATCTATCGTGATAACTCAACGGAATTAATCTATTTGCAACGACACTATTACGATGATTTTCGTAACGTTCGTTCGGCACAAACGGGGAGACCAGCATCATCATGCGGCAATAATCCATATTTTCGGAACGCATTTAATTGGTGCGTATTTACACATGTGAAAATAATAAGTTTTAACATAATAGTAGCAGTAAATTCAATTAAATTTAAAATTTATTTTTGTACGGAAGGATACATAAATATTTGTGCAATAAAATTACGGCTTATATTATTTAAGCAGTAATAAGAAATTTTAGAATTAAAACATTATATCTAACTATATGTATTTTTACTTTATTTTATTTTATTAGCGCCTTTCAGTCGAGCGGCGATGTAAATAAGGCTTCAATGCGGCTCAATAACAATCTTCCATTCAATGCGCAAGGTGCCTGCTGTTCACCCTATTTTAACTTCAACATGTTTGACTATGATGATCGGAGTATAACTGCATTAGAGGTTCCAAAGGTTTTCAACCCAAATCCAATAATTTTTAGAGACCGGTATACAAACGTTTTGAAATTTCGTTTAATTTTGGAAACATCGCATTTAGCGAGAAGTAAACAAAAGCTCCTCGCTTCATTTGTGTTCCATCCATATGAACCGTTTGCTATAAGTATCCAACAAGTTGGAGTTAGTTCTTACGTCTTTAATTTTCATATTTTTTCTGAAACAGTTATTGTCAAGCCCGGCCCAAGAGTACTGAAATATGATATATGGCCTGATTTGTGTCCAGTATTTCATAATTATAATTAAATTCTTGATGTCTACAATAATATAAATGCAATATGTAATGCAAACACAAAGTTTGCAGAACTAATATTAAGTTTCCTACGATTCTATAAGAAAAATAGCACAATTACCTGAAAATTTTGAAGAATTGACAATGACTTTAATTAGTTAATAAATAAGTAATAAAAATGGTGCAAAAAAACCTACAAACATAAATTTAGTTGTAATATGTGATTAAAAAACAAAAAGCCTGATAATATAATACTTACTTTTTACCAACTATTTTTAAAAGAGAACAGCATAATTACCCGAAAAGTGTAGACAATTGATAATGACCATATTTACTATAATAATTAGTAATAAAAATAGCTTAAGTCAATTAATCTAAATCCAATTAATATAAGCTTTCTAAAGCGCTTTACTAAATATTTCGAAATGGTTCTCTAAAAAAATTGTATATAAGGTCTGGGAATTTTTATAACTTTTTTAATATATTTATTGCAACAATTTATGTACTTATTTTTGATAATTGTAAAGAAAACTTGTAATATATATGTAAAATTGAAATTTTTAGTTTGAAGTTTTATAAAACGCACAGAAATGTGCCCGTCTAAAATCTTATCTTCCGGAATAAAATATTCTACTTTCATACTAAAATAATTAAAAAAACTCATGTGGAATATAAAATATTGCAATTTAAGTGTTTAATTGTTGTGATTCTAGTTCCTAGAAATTGAATAGTCGATTGATTTAAAATTCATTTTAAACGCATTCTTAAATGTTGTAACTTTAATCGCATGTGTGTACCTGTAATTAAATATTTATCTTTCGTTGTTACATTATTGTTTTCAAGTTATTTATTGAGATATATTTCAATTTAGTAGCAAATATTTTTGAGTAAAATATATATTTTTAACGATGTAATTTTTATTTTGAAGTCTACACAATTTTCTTTAGCGCGAAACTTAATCGAAGTCAGATATGAAAACTTGTGTGGCTCATTATGGGTCACTCTTCGTTTGGTGTTGCCTATTCTGTTCACGCCGTAACTAACGTTGGCTAATGTTTTGCATTGTTTCAAATCCATTTCTCAAAATCTTGAACGCGACAGTCGGGTCTACGTACGGACCTGTATTTTTATCAGGGCAAGGACTATCAACTTGGCAGGATTCCAGCAAATTACTTCAGGAATGTTTTATGCCGCCACAACAACAACTGCAAAAACGCAAAACGTTTTGTTCGAAGATGAACAACTCGGTCCCCTTTGCTTTTCTTCGTCGCGGACTTCCCTAAAAATTACGAGTTGGCGTAACAAAATTTTCTATGTCTGAGTTGGCCTTAACTATATTTTTTTATGTTTGATTGGCCGCACTGGTCGAACAGCTGTTTATAGTAAACAAGTTGCAGTTGACGTCGCGTCTAACTTTTTTGCTCTGTGTTTTTAATTTGTGGAATTATACTTGTGGTACTTTAAACAGAGAAATCATAAATAAATAAATGGATGGGAATGCGTTTTTGATTGAAGAGCTTTCTAGCAATGATGTGAGCGAATCGGAATTGTCAGAATTCAAAGAAACGCAACCATTAAAGGTATTAGACATCATAGCACCTGATGATTGTAAACCGACAAGTACCACAAACATTTGTGGCAGAGATGAAGTTTTAGCAAAAAATTGTGAAAGTTCAACTGTAATAGGTGGTGAAGGTGAAGCAGCGTTGATAAAGCGTTTTGTGAGTGGCGAAGTAGAATTTCCCGATTGTTACACGAAACTTGAGCCGGGCGAAGAAGAAGAATATGATGTCGATAAATTTGAACTGGAAGCACAAGAGCAACAGAAGTATATTATTGATGTTGAACAATCTACATCCCAGCAAGCATCTGCAAAACGGCACAATGACTTCGCTGTTATGGAACGCAAAACGGTTGATACCAATTTAAGTGAACCAAATTGGCGTAGTAGAACGGGAAGTACCGGAAGCAGTACCGGACCTAGCATACCCAGACGTCGTACTGTACTTAATGCAGCGCTGCAGGGTCTAATGGGTGAGGCGAATTTAAGTTTTGCACGTGGGCAAATTGATATTGCTGAAAAAATATGCTTGGAAATTATACGACAGAATCCATTAGCACCAGAACCATTTTTTACGCTGGCCGAAATCTATGAAACACGTAATACTGAAAAACATTTGTACTTTTTAACACTTGCGGCACATTTGAATCCACATGATCGTGATCTATGGATACGTATATCTGAATTGCATATTGCACAGGGAAATTTACAACGTGCGCGTATATTTTACACCAAAGCAATAAAAGTATGTACTTGTTTCCAGTTATTTTTATAATTTATACTAATTGTAATTTTATTTAACCGCGTAAGGCAATGCCGAGAGACTACGATTTACGTTTGCGCAAAGCACGTTTGCTGGAATTGATGAATGAAACACAAAGGGCTATGTTGACATATTTAAAGATGTTACCACACGTACCACGCTCTGAATCGGAGCTTTGTCTGACGACAGCCAAAAATGTTGCACACCATTTTCATGGTATTTCAAAACACGCCATTGCGCTTGAAGCCATGGAAAGCGCTTATCAAATTTGTGGTGATCGCTTTACACTAGAAGATCTCAATTTGTATATGGATCTACTCATTTTCAACAAGGGATATGCAAAGGTTTTGCGTTGCTTACGTGCGCGCACCTCACTCGAATTGGAAACAGAGCAAGAAAGAAATTTAGAACTGATTTTCTTTTGTGTCATACCCGATGATTTTGTACCCGACTTTCGTGCAAAATTATGTGTAAGTCTAATACACTTGCATGCGCATCATTTGCTCGGTTATCTTATACAAAATGTGCACGAGCACATTCCCTTGACAGATGATCGCTTAGACTTATATATTGACATTGCGGAGGCGCTAATGCAAGAGCACAAATATGCTGAAGCTATAGAATTGCTACGCCCAATAACCGATGGCGATACGATCGAGTGTCCGGCTTTTGTTTGGCTACGTCAAGCCGAATGTTTGCGTAATTTGAACCGCACCAATGAGGCCATAGAAAGTTATACGCGTGTAGTAGAATTAGCACCATTTTGTTATGAGGCGAAGTTCACATTGTCAGCGCTACTCAAGCAGCAGGGACGTCACTTGGAAGCGGTGAAAGCGCTTGAACAATCGGGTGAATGCGATGGCCAACCGCTGAATTCGCGTTTGCTTTATGAACGTTGTATAATGTTGCAGCAAATCGGTGAGATTGATGAATTCCTTGAAGTCGGCTATGTGCTCTTGGCACGACATTCAATAAAATTGCGTAATCGCGATGAAATGCTCGCAGCAGCGAATGGTGGCAGTTTTTACAATGCAGAGGGTCTCAAGGTTATACTGCAAATGCGTAATATCACAGAGGACACGGACAAGGCATTGCAGGTATGAATATATTTATAACGCTCAATATCATAATATGCGCACTAATGCCTGCAATTTTCGCTTTGTTAGGAATATCTTAAAATACCACAGGAAAATTCCGATCTCACTATACAAGATGAATTTCGACTATTTCTCGAGTTGATACGTGTTGCCTACGAACAGCGTAAATTCAGTTGCATTGAACGGATCTGCTTTGGCATGGTGACCACAAAGCGTTTCACCGCCTATCACATCGAATTGGAACGTATCATAATACTCGCCTGTTATTTTAATGACAATTGCGCCATTGCATTCTCCTATTTGCGTGAGTTGATTTCGAAGAGTCCACATAATATCGCGCTATGGAATTTGCTATCGCTGTTGGTGCAGAAGGGTCAAGATTTACGTTATCATCGTTATGTGCGTCGTCTCGTACAACGTCATCCCACCGAACGTCAATTGCGTATTTTTCTAGCTCACTATCATCTATTTTGTTGTTCGTACAAATATGCATTAAATATCTATGTGCCACTATTTAAAGAACAACAAACACCGATACTTGCGCTTTGCATTGCCGTTATTTTCAATCAATTGTCATTGCAACGTAAAGTGTTACGTAAAACCGCTGCCGTTTCGCAGTCGATTGCTTTCGCCCAAAAGTATGCTACACTGCGTGCAGGTGTTGAATGGAAGGTTGGCTCTACTACCACCGACACTGTAGCGGAAGCATCAACATCACAAAAAGAAACAAATGCTGCATGCAGTGCTGTTGAACAAGAAATTTGCTATAATTTTGGGCGCATTTATCAACAGGCTGGCTTAGTGCACCTAGCCGTGGAGTATTATGAACGTGGTTTGGCCGCACAACATCCTTTGATTGAGGAGAACGAAGAGTATTTGGGTTTGCGTCAAGAAATTGCCTATAACTTACATCTGATCTATAAGGCAGCGGGAAATTTACGTAAAGCGCGACAATATCTCTATGAGTATTGTGTTGTATGAAGTATGTAAGAAAGAAGCGTTTAATTTGCGGATGTGGGTAAGCAAATAGCAGCGAAATTGGAATTGTATAAGTTCTCAAATGCATGAGTATGGGGATTTCCTAGTCTCAATCATTGCGGCAGTATAGAAAGTCATCATATTCGACGCAAAAATGTTGCAGTATAAGTATCAGATGAGTATCTCTAGTATTTAAGGCGTTGAAAATAAAAGAAACATATTCAACAACTCTGTAACTTAGTTTTGAAAATTGTTTGGCAAATACTAAATTAATATTATATGAAGGAAAAACAGACAAATACTTAAAAGAAATTAAAAATGTAATAAAAAAAAATTAATATAAAAAAAATAAACAAATAATAAAAAAAATTAATAAAAAGAAATTAATAAAAAAAAAAATGTATAAATAAAATTGGTTTACTTGATATTTTAAATTAACCCAAATTAAGGCACATTAATTTTATTTGAATACAGTCTAAAAAAACTTAATAAAAAAAAATTAATAAAAAAAAAATTAATAAAAAAAAAATAAAAAAAAATTAATAAAAATAATTAATAAGAAAAATTTTATAAAAATAATTAATAAGAAAAATTTTATAAAAAAAATTGGTTCAGTTGATATTTTAAATTAACCCAAATTAAGGTACATTAATTTTATTTATATACAGTTTTAAAAAAACTTGATAAAAAAAAATTAATTAAAAAGCAATTATTAAAAAAAAATTAATAAAAAAAAGTTAATAAAAAAAATTAATAAAAAAAAATAATAAAAAAAAGTTAATAAAAAAAAATTTATAAAAAAAAAGTTAATAAAAAAAATTTAAAAAAAAAAATTTTATAAAAAAAATTGGTTCACTTGATATTTTAAATTAACCCAAATTAAGGCACATTAATTTTATTTAAATACAGTCTCTGTGTATGTATATGCATCGTTTAAATGTGTTCATTAAATTTGCAAATTTTCAACAGTATCAAATAGTGTTAGTAATTCTTGCTCCTTTTTCTTGATACGTCCCTTAATATCTGTGATGGACTCGGTTTTCGGTACGACTTTGTTTAGTATTTCGTCCATAGAGTTTATAAGTCTGTTGAAAGAGTAAAAAGGGAAACGAAAATATAAAATTTTTAAGTAATTATTATTAGAGCGTCTTTTTGGAAATTTACAAAAAAAAATTTAACTACTAAATTTATATTTATATTATTTTAATATTTATTTTTATATATTTTTTTAAATATTTTTTTTATATATTTTTTTTATATACATATATTTTTTATATATTTTTTATATATTTTTTTATATATTTTTTATATAGTTCTTTTTATATGTTTTTCTATATGTTTTTTTTTTTTATATAGTATATATATTTATATATATTTTTTATATATTTTTTTAATATATTTTTTTATATATTATTTTTTATATATATTTTTTTATATATATATTTTGATATATTTTTTTTTATACATTTTTTCATATATATTTTTATATATTTTTTTATATATTTTTTTATATATATTTTTTTTATATAAATTTTTTTTAATATATTTTTTTTAATATATATTATATATTTTTTAATATATTTTCTTATATATTTTTTTATATACTTTTTTTTATATATTTTTTTACTTTATTATATTTGTATTTGCATAAAATATTTTATATTTTTTTTTTGTTTTATATTTTCTTTCATTTTTATTTTTATATATTTTTTAAATCATATTTCAGCGGTACACAAAATCAATTTCAAACAAAAAAACTTTGAAGTAGAGGGGGAAGGAATGGCCTCGTCTTCGTCGTGACGATTTCTACCCTTATCTACAGATTCTTGACTGGCAAGTTTTAAGAATATGAGATATCATGACGACCTCATCGATAAATGTAGTTTCGTTGTTTTCTTTAAAGACTACTCAAAAAATGCTTTTGATGTTTTAAAAGTCTGGACAAACCATTTGTTTTTTGTAATTTTTTCATCCAAATTGATCCTACTTAAGATATTGCCATGTTGTTTATTTTTATAAATAAATATTTATCAGCTTTAAAATTTCTAAAAACTCTCATCACGATATTGTTATCGATATCAAAAACCGAAGTTGTGGTCCCTGATAAAAATGTATAATTCCAAAGAAGAAAGGAACTGGTTTTCCTATTAAATCGGCTATCTTGTTTATCTGGTTAATACGGAATGGATCAGTGTACCTATGGGAACCCTTATCGCTAGAGAAATATGGATCTCACCTAGGGTTGCTGAGTTTACGGATAATGAATTCGGTCCTCTCGTAGTGCTTTGCAAGCTCTACATCTTTACAGTTTTCTGCTATTCCGCTATGAAGTGTCCTTAGAAAAAGTCAAATTAGGTCGCCAGTTAATAGATATGATTTTGTCAACAAAATTTCGTGCCAACAAAGAGATGTGTACACCATAAGCGCTGCATGGTTTGTTGCGAACTTCTGCAACCCCTATTCTTATCCCTATCTATGGCGTACCTTCGGGATGCTGATATCAGTTCTTATATCCCTGAAAGAGACTGAACTTTGATGCAGTAGATCTATCTCTTTCTTATTGTTATACTATATAATATACTTCTGAGTCTAAAATTATAAAAACCTAGAAGGTTGTTTGCCAAGAGATTTTTTACCAAGTTGTGCTTGAGCTTTGTCATCACACGCTCACTCACTTACTTCTTATCCACTTCGATGGAGAGTTTGGATTTGCGTAAACGTCTGGTGACTACCGATTTCTCCAGGAACTCCTTTAAGTCGGTCAAATGTTCCTCTTGCTTCTCCGAATGACCTTCAAATTTGCGTTGTGCCTTCAACATAAGCTTTTTATTTATCTCACTACGCTGACGTTCGATTTCTGCTACCACACAAGCCGTTGGCGGCAACAACTTTATATCGCCAATAATCAGATCATGATTAAGTATTTCCGGTTCATTGGTTTGTATACCGATCTCCGTTTTTATAATCTGCTCCATAAGATCGATTTTCTTTACCGTATTATCGATACCTTTAGCTGCTGCCTCCCTGCGCTGGCGTGCGGTGGCGCGCGCCGCTGTATTGCTCGGTATACCGCGCATCACCTTTCGGCCATCGCCTTGTGCGTTGCCAGCAGCCGCTGCAGCGTTTGTTTTGTATAGAGTGGGGTGATTGCTGTTGTTAGAGCTGCTTGTCTGCAATTGATTGCGCGCCTGTGCTGTTGTTGTGGCCGATAAAGAGGTCGGCTTGCGTTCGGTGAATTTCGAACGCATTTGTGGTGACAGCTGGCGTCCGCTAAGTGTAGCGCCAATTCGCGTTTCGTCACCGGTGGAGCTGACACGACGCGCCGATCGTTGCGTCATTGTTGTTGGTGTTGCTGTGGCTAATAGGGGTAGTTGCCGATGCGTCATGGACTGGCGCACAATAATATTCTTCGTTCTGCTACCGGACGCAAACATTTCGTACTTTTTTCGAATTTGGAATTTTTTCAATTACAATACACACAAAAGTTAAATAATTTTCAAAAACTGAAAAACAAACATTTGCTTTCGAGTTCTAAATAAAAAATTTGAATGATTACTTTTCAACTGAAATACTGATAAATTGAAATGAAATGATTGCTTGGAATGACAGCAGCTCGAAAGTGTGGCAGAAACGAAAAAAAAAGATTTGACAAGGGTTTCGAAAGCTTTCTTTATTATAAGCAAATAATTTGGCATTTAGGTAAACTTTAGTATAACGTTCCAGGCTTTCGGGGATAAAATGGATATGGGCGGATAGAGGAGATCCTCCAGATCAAGAATATATACAGACATAGCCGAGTGAATATAAAAGTGAAAAATATAAGTGTATAATTCATTTTTAATCGTAAAAATACGTACTTTAAATAGTTGAAATTTTTCAACTTTAAACGTAAATATCTCGAAAACTATAAGTTTCCCGCGGCTATATCTATATATATTCTTGATCTGGAGGATATCCTCTATCGCCCATACCCATTTTATCCCCGAAAGCCTGGGACGTTATTCTAAAGCCGACCCTGGCTTTTAAATTTTTTATTCATTTTTTTGTCACAAAATTGTAAAAAATATTATTTTTTATGGAAAACCATATTTCGTGAACTTTTGTTAGTGCTTTAACGATCCTGTGTGTAATATGCATACGTATAAAATATTGGCTCCCGAATTTTTTCTCTCAAATATTTTCTGTTTGAAAGACATTTTATTTCCCAATTATTGGCTTTTATTTTGTGTCTTTATCTTGCTGTGTCTTAAATTAAAACTATTATTCGCTTTTCTTTTACTTTATAATAAAAACAACAACACATTTGTAGTTTATGTGTGTAGCATTACTTTTATTCATTTCATATTCTCAATAAACACTAACTACTCTTTGCACATGCATAAACATGAATTTTGACATAATATTTGTTTACGTTGCTTTTTAGTGTTGTAATACGTATTAGTATGCCATAAAAGATTAAAAAATATTTTTATATAAGAAAACATATGTATGTATATAATAATTGTGACATTTTGGATATGTTACGCGTATAAAGTTTATGTGTGTGTAAATTTGTGTATTAAAGCACATTAAATTGCGTTTTATTGATATGAAGGCGAGTAAGTAGCAATTTCTTGAATATTTAAAATATATATATATTTATATATATTATATATATATATATTTATATATATATTTGTTTTTATATGATATTTCTATTAATTGTTTCTTATATATTAGTAAAAATATAGGTTCTCATACGTGTACAATATTTTTAAAAGTTCACTACAGTCACATTTCAGTTTTTTATTTTCCAGTAATTATAAGCACTTAACTATTTTTTCCTTACTTATTTTATAAAAAATGTATGCATATGTATAGGTATATATTAATATAAATTTTATTTTTTTATAAGCATTTGCAGTTGTTGTTCTTTCGAGTAGTTAAAACTTGAAAAGTTTCAATGGATTTCGCTTAAATTTATTTGCAGCAGTTTTGGCTGTAATTAAAAAATAGAAAAAATGTTGAAAAGTAAATTTGTTTTCATTTAAAATTATAACGAAATTTTTATTAATCTTTGCTACTTTTTTTTTTATTTTTCGTAATTACGCTTGTAATTGTTGGTTAATGTTTTGATCGATAAGAATTTCGATAATTAGTTGATGTTGTTTGGCATTATTTCAAGCTTATATTTGTTGCGTATACGCCATGGTTACTGCTCAGTCTTGTTAATGAAAAGCAAATTAAAGAATTGCAGCTTTTGTTAATAAGTAAAAATGATTTGAAGCGAATTTTAGTTATTTCTGAAATTTAAATTATTTTTATATAAATATATAACATCTATATTGTTTCATATTATTGTGTATTATGTTTTATTGTAATATATAAATTTCTCCATAATTCGATGTCAATAGTATCGTACTGATGGTTTTAAAAATAATGAAATACTAAAATTTTATAAAAAAACATTAATTTTTTTACTAAAAAATATTTTGGATAATTAAAAAGACTCATTATACAAATTTCGCACCAATCGTGGGGGATGAAAATTATTTTATGAATATGCTTGCTCTGAATTTTGTACACTAATTTCTGTAATGTAATTGCTACCATCTTAAGTAATACTAAAATAATTCCCACTGATGTTTTTTTCCTAGCAGAAAATCGTGTCTACAATGACATGGCAATACGGCTATGGCCAAAATAATAGCAATAGTTTCACTGCTCATGTGTGTGGGATATAATTTTTTTCGAAATTTTTCTTCTGTTTTATTTCTACTAACTTTTAGTACTTTTTAGCAATTATTTTTGTTATATGTATATTTTTAGTACTCCCTGTATTTTTTACAAGCTTTTAGTTAAATTTTAGTACTTATTTCCTTTAATAATTTATCTTTGAATAAGCTTGTACTACTTAATTTCAGTACTAATTCCGAATTAATTTTTTATTCCGCATACATAATTTTGATGTGTTTTTTAAATAACAATTCTTTTTGAAATGATAAAATACTAGAAAAAAATTTGGTGCTTTACTATTTTTAATTTTTTTTTCCTATAGTACTCATTAAAATAAGGTTGCGTAAATTATTATTATTTTTCATTTTAAATTAAATTTTATGTAGTAAATTTGGTTAATTTTGGTTTAACCATCTGTTTTTTATGTTGAATGCAAATAAAATTTTTACCGCAAATTTTTTGCGTTAAAACTAAAGAAATCGTTGAGACAAAATATTTTTAAAAATTGTTTTCAAAATTTAAAAAAATATGCCCTACTAATATTTTTTAATTCAAATTTAAAATTATTTGAGTAATAAAAATTTGTTAATAGTATTTTTTGTAATTTACTTTATTTTGAAATTTATTAACATCGTTTTGATGTAACCATTTATTTTTTCTTTCAATTTAGATTTGAAATTAATTGTGCTCAAAATTTGTTAATATATTTCTTTGTAAAATTAATTTTATTATTTTACTTATTTTTATTTGATTTTTATTGTTTTATTGTTTCATATTTTTACTATTTTGTTTTTTAGGTTTATTTTTTATTTTTTAATTTTTAATTTGTTTATTTTTTTGCTTTTTTTCTTGAATTTTTCATTCATAATTTATTATCTTTAATTGATATTTTTTATAAATATATTTTTTGTTTTTTAATTTGTTTATAAATTTTTTATTAATTCTTTATTGACTTTTATTTTGCATTTATTAATAATTTATTAATTTTACTAATATATTTTATAAATACATTTATTATTTGTTATACATACTTTAGGTAATAAGTGATTATTTTTTATTATATCAAGTTTAGTTTTGTAAAATTTGCAGCGTCTTGCAGAAAAATAACATAAAAGTTGATTATTATGAAAAAAATATTTTATTTTAATATTTTATTAGTATAGTAAAGTAAAGTATAGATACTTTAACTGTAAACTCTAAAAAATGTGTGATTGTATTTTGAAATGTTAAATGTAATATTTATTAGTATGAAAATTAAAACTCAAAAAATTCCTCCACTCTTTTGCAAATAAAATTAGAATGTCGTTAATTTTTTTTGTTATAAAAATTTTATTATCATTATTTTGTTGTTCATAAAGTAAAATTATATGAGTTAAAGCGCAAGTTAAATAAAATTTGGTACACGCATAAAATAAAGTTGCTAAGTATGCCAAGCATACTTACAGGCGTTCTAACGCATGATTTGTAGCCCGTGTACATTGACTGTCTCAACACTTGTTGCAGCGCACCACTTTGGCGTTGTTCGTGCAACATACATTAGTTGCTTTCATAAAAATTTATATTTAATAATTTTTTTTCTACAATTACAGTTATTCATTGCCACATTTGCATGCCAGAGAAAAGCACAAAGCGCATGTATGTATGTATGTATGTGCGTTTACCTTCACTGATGGAATGAATGATGGCGTCGCAATAAGTATAAAAATTTCGTGGAAATATTTTTTTTTATTATTGTTTAGTAACTAAATTGTTTTCGTGACGTAGGCACATTTTTCTTCTTTTCTTGTTGTTGTTGTTGGCTATGTGTGCTAACATATATACTGTTATGCAATTTATTACAATTTACGATTTTTTTATTTTTGTTCTTGTTATTGTTACAATACTCGTCAGTATATATAAATATGGTTACCGTTGTGAGTGTGTGTGTATATGTATGTATTAATTAATGTGTGAGTGTTGATTCATGTTGCATGACTAAGCGAAATATCTATGCATATAATTTATACTCATTGGCAACAACTACAACTACATATTACATATGCATGTATGTACACATATGTGCGACTATAGTACGATCCGCTTAACCCCACAATCCATACAAAACTTAGCCTGTTCGACTAGAAATTTGGCGCCACATTCGTGACAGAATTTCGACATTTTCATACTCGCGCTCATTGCCGCATTTGTGCTGGACAGCGAACTGCTCGAACTGTAGTGGGCTTTGTTGGCGGCTGTCGGCGCCGTTTGCGCATCCTCTGTCGCGAGGCCGGTGTTTGTTGCATTGCTGGCGGCTAGACGTGCGCGCTCCATTGTTGTTGGCGAACTGAGTGGACTATCATAATTGTTGGTGTTGGTTATGTTGTTATTGTTGTTGTTGCCACCGCTGATGCTGCTGTGCTGTGGCGCATAGTGTGCGCTGATATAGTTGGTGTTGTTGTTGTTGTGATTCTTATTGCCAACACCGCTGTACAATTGTTGCTGCTGCTGCTGTTGTTTCTGTTGTAACTGTTGCTTATATTTGACATTGCAATCACTGCCATCCGAATTGTCGCTGCTGGATGAGGCACTTATGTGTCGCGGACGCGCAGCCACTGGCGCGTACTTGTACAATTGCGTCGTTTGTTGTGGCAACTGTTGCTGTTGTTGCAACTGCAGTTGTTGCTGTTGCTGTTGGTATTGATATTGCTGCTGTTGTTGTAGTTGTTTTTGTGTTTGCACATCTGTTGGCAGCATTACGGGTAATGTCGTTGTTGTCGTGCTGGTCGAGCTGCTGGTGGTGGGGCGACTGCGCGCGGCGCTTCGTTGCGGTGTGGTCGACAGCTCTGAGGATCTCTGTCGTGAGAGGCTGGTGGGGAAAAAGATGAATTTGTGCACATACTTTTATTATTGTAGTTAAATTTCGATTACGATGTGAAATCTATATTTTCTGTAATACTATTTTACTCTTTAGAACTACTTCATGGCCTGTAAAGTTAATTGAAACCGATGCTTAGTCGTGTGACGCGTCGTACCTACTTTCATAAATTTAAGCATAAATGTTCGAACCTTAGTATACGCGGCTCGGAAGCGGCTTTCAAAGCAAGCTTTAGAATTTACTATACTTCATATAATCAAGACCAATTAATTCCTGAACTAAAAGTATTATAAGTCTACATACTTACGGCAAGACGCCGACGGGATTGACGTAAAATACTCTGCCACATAGAATTTAAAGACGTTTAGCTGACCTTTTAATCAAAAATATTGTTATGTCTTGATGCTAGGGTACGGAGCAATGTTGGTAATACGAGACCTTTATAGGAATACTGATTTTGATGTACTCATATATGAGCTCATAATCTACTGATGCAACCAACTATAACAAGTACGCAATACGATAATACCGAATCACAGTAGGGTATAATCGTATTTTATGAAACCACTTCCGTTTTGAGAAAAGTAAAGGCACAACTAAATTTTTTTTGCAATACTTACCTCCCGTACGCAGAGTCAGCGCTTAGTTTAGAGCCGACACCACGTCGTGACGATTTCGAGGATATCGGATAACCATCCAAACTGCTCATTTCGTCCGAATCGATGCACGCATCACCGCTGACATCTTCCGAGGCTGCATACATGGGCGCCACTGCGCTCACACCTGTCTTCGACGGCGATGGTGTTGTATTTGTATTGCATGGTACATATGTACCACCAGTCACACCACCGCGTCCACCAACGCCAGCTGTCATACCGACCTGCTCGTTGCCATACAACATTGCTGCATTACTACCGACTGCATTGAGACCGGTCATGGCTTGGCGTATATTGGCGCCCACTTCTTCGCTCATTTGTCGAAAGTCATTTTGCATTCGCTGTATTAGATTTTTGGCATTATTTAGCTGTACATTCGGCAAATGATTGCCACTGTTGAAGGGTGTGCAACGCATCATCATATCGCCTGCATGACTCTGGCCGGCGACATGCCTCGGTGGCAACTGCTCATCGTCGTCACTGATCTTGCTGAACTTATTATCACCGCCGTCAACCTCTACTTCGACCATGGTTTGGGGATTGCCGACCATGCTGCGTAGCGAGTCAGGTGAAATAGGCGAACGACCATGTTCATTCGGCTCCGTCTCGATGCTGATGAAGATCTCACGCTTTTTATGCTCGGCGTCAGCATGTCGCTTGGTGATCAAGCCGTCTTCAGCGTAAGCGTGGCTTTGTGTGTTGACGCGTTTTAGATCCTGGTACCGATCGGATAACGGTGAAGATTCTTTACTTTTTGGGCGTGACTCATCGCGGGATCTGCGGGAGGAGGGTGTTAGTAGGTGCGTGGGTTGGGAATATTTATTAGAGGCGAGACTTGGGAATTGAAAGTGATTCGTGGTGTTGTTGTAGTCTTTAGTTGGTGTTGTATATTGGTTTGTTTTGCTATTGTTGTTGTTGTGGTTGCTGTTATTGTTTGCATTTATTGAACTCGGCGTCTGCGTCGAACGTTGTTTATTCGACGAGCGATTCAACAGAAATTCCCTACAGTCCTTGAACAGAGGAAATTGCTCATCGTCATTCTCGAATGACGAGAGAAATTCCTCAAAGTCAAAGTCGTCGAAAATCGGTAATGGCGGCACTATAGGTGGTGTTTTCATTGGTGTGGTCTGTTCGCGTGTATTAACGTAACATGTTTGTGGTTGTTGCTCTTGCTGTTCTTGTTGTTGTTGCTGTTGATATGACGATTTATACTTGGATTCATAATACTCGACCGAAGAACGATTTGCTTCATCGTCAGCCGAGCAAGAGTCATCCGCCTCGGGTGAGACATCATAAAGAAAATGATTACGTCCAAGTCGTTTTTTACGATTCAACAAATTTCTACCCTCAATTGAGTTGCGTTGACTGAGCGTCGGATGCGCGTTCGGCTGTGTGCCGTCCGTGGTGGAGGGTCTGCATGGTATATTTACCGCTGTTGTATGTGATACCTCGGCGGGTTTAGTAAGCGGTAATAATTTGGTAAGCTGCGAAATCGGACCAGTTTGTGTGGCTGAACACTCTGAGGAGGATGAAGAGAAGTCCAAACGACGTTCCACATTGTTACCGCCAACGGATTTCAATGTGCGCACCGTATTCAGATTTACGGGCAGATTATCGCATTTATTAATTAGCTTGGGATCGATGTACTCATTGCTGGAAGAGCTCTTGCCCTCTTTACTGTAGGCGGAGAGCGAAGAAGTTGTTGTTGGCCTCGTTTCGCCGAGTAGTGCATTTAAGTTGACTGGTCGATTTACAATGGGCAATTGTGTGGGCATGGCCTGTGTATGCGCTCGTGTTGTACTTGGCTTCGTTATTGGCGTCGAAGTTGCCTGTGGCAATGCTATGGACTCCAAACGTATGGCTTGCGTCTTTTGTATATTGGCATTCGCTCTCTCGTACGGCGATATGTTAGCTGTATTTGGTGTCTTTGGGATCGGTGTCGGTAGGTGTTGTAACAAATGTGCTTCTACCACTGGGTCTGTGTTTGGTTTTGGAGATTCAATTAGTTCTGCTTTAATACTCTTGGCAGAATTTTGTTTGCTCAAAGTGTTACTTTTTTCTTTAAACTCCTTGGAAATGATAGGATTGTGGAGATTCGTCGCAGATGACTCAGTTGTATTTTGTTCGGTCGGCTTATCCACTGCGGTTTGCGCGTTAAGTTTATCCAATTCTTTCTCGTATTTGAGGAATGCCGCTAATGAGTCGGTTTTCGATAGATATTTGGTAGCAGAGTTCATTAGTTCATCGCTGCTGTTTACACCCAACATTGTCGCACAATTCGGTGTGTTCGTTGCAGACCCCATTGTGGCGGCAGCACCCTGTACATTGAGCTTTAGGCTCTGTTTACGGTTAGAGAGACTGTTATCACGACGTGCGACACGTGGACTCTTCGTTACAGCATAGTCGTTGACACAAACCGAACGTACAGGCATCTCATCATATTCTTCAGGTTTCAGAAAGTTAGTTGAGATGGGACCTTCATCAGAGAGGCCACGTTGTATGGTGGGGCGATGGTTTTGCGCGAACAAGGGACGTGAGGAAAGCATCGGTGAACGACGCGGACCGCGTAACGATGATGTGCGCCGGAAATTCGAAGTTGTCTTAGAAGCGTTTACCGAAGGCGTTGCTGTCTGGCGTTGGTTTTGTGAGTTGTGTGTCAAGGGACTAGAGTTAGGCGTGGAAGTGCTTAGTGTGAGTGAAGTGGACATTTTTGCTGGCAAACCAGCTGGTGATACGGGAGTTTGTGGCGTAGTTTTTGGAAGGTTAGAGGAAAAGGAAGGATTATTTGGAGGTGAGGACGAGCAAAGCTCTTCCAATTGACGCTTGGCCGACAGAAATGGATCATATCTATCGCATGGTAAACCACTAAAAATAGATTAAATGAATTAATTGCAATGGAAATTATATAATAAGAGCTTATGTGTAAGTTATGCTGCGATACTGTCACTGATTTTATATTACATCAATATGATGACACTAGCTGATTGAGTAGTGTATGCTTGTTGAAAAAGATTTTTGTGATTACATATTCTTTTCGGTGGCTAAAATTTTCTACACTTGCATACAAACCTGAGCACAAAAGACTTGTCACGCGCCAGTTTCGGTGGAGCTTTGATTACTTTTATCTCGTCATCCGTTTCATCATCGGCTAGCGTACGACTGTCACTATCTTTTAGCTGCTCACCGCCACTGTTTAACATTTTCGTAGGCGCGCCAAACATTTCTATGCTCTCCTTGAGTAACGGTATCGCTTTCATTGGTGCGGCATGTGCCGAAATCGACTGGCGCACTAGCTTCTTACGTTTGGGCCGACATATTGTCAATGACCTTATAGCGTTCACTTCCAATTTCGTATGTGAGGCAGCCGCGGTTGATGTGGTTGCCGTTTCGACCGTGGTAACAGCGATTGTCGTATTAGGCAGCTTGTCAAAAGTAGTCTGTCGTGTTTGCAACATTTGCATGGGTGCCGTAAGTGGCGGCGAGTAGCGTTGCAGTTTCTGATGTTGTTGTACTTGCTTTTTCACCAATTCGTAGGATTGACTATTACGCACTTTGCTCTCTTGTAAATGTTCATCATCATGGTCGGTCATTACAGTGCCCGCATCAACACGTATACTAGACTCGGACGGCACTTTGGGCTTTAGTTTAATTCTACGCTTGCAAACTGGTGCGATGCTTGTTGTGGGCTGAGTTTGAACGCGTGTTGATGTTGTTGACTTATTGACACCATTCAACGGACAGGCAGTGTAGGTCAGAGTTGCGGACAAGGCATTTGCGTCTCCGAGACAGTGGTCTCTGGTTTGCTCTACGCGCGACGTTAGTAGTGATGCATTAAAAAGTATTAGTATGAATAGGGTAATGAGATACGATAGAGAAATGCTTTACTCGAACAAAAATTGGAAGATTTTCTCATGCCTTAGACCCTGAATTCTTCCTATCCGAATTTGTTTGAAATCTGCTTTAGAATGTTGTGTTAGTTAATCCCCTGAGCTTTGATGTTGGTTGGGGATAGGGGAATGCTAGTAAAAATATGTTATCGTTTTTTTAGATTTTGCTTCGGTTTGAATTCGAACTATCGATGCAGACCTCATCGACGGTTTTTTGCAAAATTTTTTACTTTTTACGTTTACAAAATATGGTTAATAATTTTGTTGTGCTTTAGAGAAAGGTGGGACTTGTCAGACATGGGATTTAAACTCTCGGATATTTAAATAACGTCATACTATGTCCTCGATTATAAATACTAATACCCACTTTAATTGATTAGAAACACAGTTTTCATCGACTAAAGCATGTTTCCCTGAAAGCTATTGGTTTTAAGACCCCATCCATTACAACTTGCCTTATTTCTCAAAGCTTTGTGAAATTCTGCGGCTTTTCTATTAGATTAGCACATTTAAAAAAATTAAAAACTGAGAATTCTAGGCGGCAAATTGAGATTTGAAAATCCGTAGAATTTGCGGTTATTGGAAGTTTTAAAGCAAAAATAAAAACAAAAATGAAAACAAAAAGAAAAGTTGGGTTGACTTCGCTGGGTTATTTGAGGAACACCATTAAGCTTTACAAGCTTAATTCGTATTAGTTATGGACAAAACTTTTTATACCTGTAGTGACTGCTGGCAAGCTTTCATCGTATTTTCGTATTCGAACCTTCTCGAATTGCGGCGATTGCGGTCTCGCTTGCGTATTAATTGCATTCAATGTAACACGACGTTTGCTCATCTTCTTGTTTGAATCATTTGTAGCCAATCTTGCGCCCGTCAAACGGAAATTATCGAAACAAGCACTCTTCACATAATCATCAGTGGCGACATTGGCAAGACGCCTAGGTGAGGGTGGCGGCAATTCGATAGTATTCCGATGCGTTTTACGTGTGAGCAAAGTCATAATACCAGGCTTTCTGATGGGGTTAGTGGTGAGAATGGAGAGCAAAATAATGGTGACATGACGATTATGATCAGATTGACGAGTGGTATGATGAATTTGATGATAACAATGATGAATGAGATCGATGATGGTGATAAAGATGAGGTTGATGATGAGGAAAATGATATAACCCATTGTGCATAGTCACGTGAAGAAAATAGTAATTGTTGTTTTTAGTATATATTTTAATTCATTTACTATTTTTCTGGCAACTCTGTACGTGCTCATTTCTAACCGCTACATACTTACTCATATTTTAACTAAAATTATTTTAATTTAAAACAAAAACACTACATGAATGTGGTGAAATGTGTTGAAATAAAAAAAAATTCAAGTAACAGTATCGCAAAAAGCTCTAATATAATACCTTTATATATCAAGTATTTAAATAAAAATATTTTCTAATTAAGTGGCAAAGAGTAATACTATTTTATAAACAAGTTAGAGCTTATATTATCAGAGAATGGATTAACTACAGATTATTTAATGAAACTCATTCCGGCAAGAATAAATTCACCACATCGGAAATTTTGTTTGTAGTTTCAAGTATGCGTAAATACCTTAGGTCTCAGTAAATTTCTAACTAAAGTTGTATTACATTAGATACCATATTTAAGTAAATTCTCATTATCGAATTCAACACTAACATATTAAATAACGTTATAATTCGAGTTACTGCACTAATTTCTCCGTGACCAAAAACTTGTTGCAATGAAAATTGGAATTGGAGTTCGTTAAATCAATCGTTTTCCAATAATTATGCAAAATCTGTTTGAATAAAAATTCACCACTCGATATCATCAATAAACTCGGGTAAAACTTAAATGTATGCGCACGTAAAATTTCTCATTCCCGTTACACCTCGATAGGTTATGTATAGTTATTAGAAAGCTCTTTTAAGAAATTCACCTCAAGCAAATGAGAATTTTGATTTAATTAAATGCAACTTTAAGCTTCTGCGGATTCTTGGCGATATTAAATATTTGCATTACAAGCATCTTAGAATATTGTATTATTCTGCTGAAGAAACTCAACACAGCAATAAAAGTATTAGTTGTAATGTGTTTTCTTTGCTTTTCCATTCTCTGCAATTTAAAGTCTGACTAGCTATATTAGTTATTAGTTGTGTACTCACTTCTCACTTGTCAGAGATGATGTCATTGATAGTGACATCACACCGTTATCGTTTCCGTTTCCGCTACTCTTTATATTGTTGTTGTTGCCGTGGACACCAACACCGTTTGTAAGACTGCTATTTTTATTATTGCTAATGTTGTTGTTGTTGTGACTGCCGTTGGACGTTTTTACCGTATCGCCAAATTCGTTCTCATCACCAGCTAATCCCGCGTACTTATCACGATTTAACGAACGCTTAGTTCTGCAAAATGCCCAAAAACCAAAATGTTGCTATTATTATTTATCCCCCGGCTTTGTATCAAAACGTTGGTAAAAAAAAAGTAGAAAAAGTTGCAAATGTTATAATTTTCTCTTCATTTGTTGGGCAAATTGTTTGCCAATTTTTTTCTATTTTATTTATGTGGGTGTATGTGTTTTGAACGCCCGTTTGCTGCTTTCGAACAATTTTTCACTACAACATTTGACAAATAAATTCACTTCGTGTCAGTCGAAAAATCAAAAAAAAAAATTGTAAAATGCTTGTCATGAAATTTCAACGCTTACTTGAGACAGGGTGCACGGTATTTAGTGCGCGCCTCCAGTCGCTCTTTGGCTAAGTTTTGTTCGGTTTTGGTCGTGTGCTTAATGGAGGCCTGCAGCGCCTTCTCCTTGCACCACTCAACATGCCGATCGTACGCCTTCGGCCCGAAGCAACGTTCACAATGCGGACACTGCTCGGCCGGTGGTGGCTGTATGCGTTTGGCGAGTGAACGCTCCGAAGAGCGCATACGATCGCGTGTAAAGCTGCCGGCGCCGGGCAGTGAGCCAGTCGATGTGGTCATCTGACTGTTGTTGACTACTTGGCTGGCAGTCGCGGCACCAGCACCGGCGCCAGCAGTGGCTGTGATGCTCGGCGACTGACTTTGTGCGTTGGCAGCCAATTTGCGCATCGAGGCGCGTGCGGTGCTGCGCGCCAACTCCTCGCCGCCGCTCGACTTCTTGCGCGTCAAAATGGGTGAGGCGATGTGCTGCAGAGTTAAAACAAAAACATTAATTGTTTTTTTGTTGCATGAAAAAGAAAATTACATTTTTGCACTCACCTGCAACGGCTTGGGCGACTGTCCGCGCGTCTCCTGCTTCGCTGGCGGCAAGCCGAAGTTCTTCGGCAACGGATAGCTGGCCAATTCGGTGCCTTCACGTCGTTGGCGCGAGGAATCGAAAACGTTACGTTTCTTTGTTGCCATTTTTTCGCATATGCCCACATGCTTCTGCAGCGTAACGGGATTGAAGGTGCGCTGACAGATGGGGCAGGGCACCAATTGGGTTGGTGCATCCGGATATGGATCCGCAGTGCTCGCAATTGTGTTGCTGTTATCTGTTGTTGTTTTTTGTTTTTGTTGTTTGTTGATTTTTGTTGGTTTGTTGGATAGCGTAGTAGAGAGTTAAAAGCGTAGAAAAAATAGAGAAGAAATAAAGTTTAGACTATTAGTATTTTCTTTTTTTGTAAAACTATATATGCGCTGTTGTATATACTGACAAAATGATATTAATTTTACATACGTATTTATTTATATTTACTTTTACGCTTTAGTGACGCTACTGACAGTCGTTGAAGTGTTAGAATGAAGCAAAAGAGGAATTTTATTATTTTTTCTTCAAAATTTCTATCCTGTATTTTTAAGCTGCCATATTTTGGGAGTTAAAGCATGTGGGAAGTATAAAATTATATTATTAAGCTTTTAATTAAGTTGTGGCATAAAAGAGAGAAACGGAAGTGCGCACATTGCCAGGTATACATATGTACGTATATCATTAGTGCGGGTAAAAAACCAAATGTTTTTGTAGAACCGAAAATTTCCTACAAGACTTTGCAATTAAACTGATATTTTTCCATTGAGTTTGAAATTAAAAAAAAAAAAATTAAAAATTTGGCTTAAAATAGTCCAACATTAACTGTATATATTTTTTAGGTTATTAGTTAGGTTTACGAAAAAACACACGAGAGCAATTTGGTGAGCCTTCCATTGCCTATAAAATCAATGAAATGAGATATATTTTAAAATAGTAGGAAGCGAGATGTGAATTTTGCTATCTACTAATGAAAAAAATATGGAAAACCGTTAAGCGGAGAACGTTACCGTTACATTTAAGAGCTCATACTTGGAGAGCCTTTCTTAGAGGTGTCTATGACGCACCCTAATATACATACATATGGTACAGACATAAATTTATATACAATACATATATTTTTGTACATATACACATATATGTATAAGTATGTGTTTAGAGTTGACTCAACGCGTAAATTATTTTTACCGCACAGCATTTGTTTTCATTATTGCCGCTAGCTGCTGGCTTGCTGCTTCTCCTTGGCATGTTGCAATGCCAGGCGACAAATTTAACTCCACTCAGCACTTTTGCTTTGTGGAAACAATGAACTTCTTTGTCTATTTTTAAGTTTCAAGAAATTTGCGCTGCATACGTTCGAATATATTTCATTGTGCATACCTACTAGGAAATGGATATAAAATATAAGTACATATGTTTTCGAACTTGCTTTAGAAATTACTTTATTTGTTCAAACAAAAAAAAAACACAAACAAGAAAAAACCCTTCAAAAATAAAAATGTTTCCATACAAGAACTTCATTTTGATTGATCAGTTTGTATGTCAGCTTTATTAGAGGTATGTTAAAAAAATAATGGGAATTTTCGTTTTTAGAAAAGAAAAATTTAATCATGCGTCTACATAAATGTTGTCGCCTACAAAATAGTCTCCTTTCGGTATTATGCACTTAGGCCACCGCTTCTTCCAACCGTCGCAAAACTGCTCAAACTTTTGTTTGCATAGCCTTAAGCTATTTCAGTGATGCGCTTTTGGTTCTCTGGTTCTCTTTATATTTGGAAATAGGAAAAATGCACACGGAGCCATGTCTGGCGAATATGAAAGCTATCGTCACCTTTCGAATATGACTTTAGTTGTAAAAAATTATAATTGTTAACCGACGCAAAGAGTGAGTTGATTGCGTGAGCTCCACAACAAGGTTTAAAACTGATTTTAAAACTAAACCGAAGAAAACTCGCAAAATACTAAAAAAAATCGAACTCATGAAATCCCGAATTGTATTTAAAATTGAGCATATGTACCCGACGATGGCGTCTTGAACGCTTATTAATTATTATTTTACTACTTATTATATTTATTCTCTGGACTTTCGATAAAAGTTCAATAACTGAACTATCTGGATTAGTTTTGCTTCCTGATTTTGAATACTAATCCTCAATAACACGGGAGTACTTTTAAATATAACCTTTATAATACCATAATTTCTGTAATCTGTAAAGGCCTTGGTGAACAATCTAAGTACATTGAAAATAATTTTTTTCATTTATAAGTTGTGTGTTTTTAATTAGTAAATTTTTGTGGCATAAAGTTTCGATATCTTACACATTTTTTTTAATATCAGAATGGGCCCTATTCAAATTCATTTGTTAGTATAGGGGGGGATTATATTCAACAATTTGAGAACCTAACCTAACTTTAAAAGCAACGATTTAAGATTGAGCCAGCTGATTTAATATTAGGAGCTATCAATAGTTTAGTAAAGGGAAATCCATGTTTTCGAAGAGGTGAGTATAATTATCTGTATTTCGCGTTGTATAGGCGCGATCGGATTACGCTATATGGCGTTAGAAATATAAGATTTCGTGCTAAAAAAATTTATTATAAAGTTTTTAAATTTTTACGTGGGGGTGATTTAACATTAAACGTACATAGTTTTGCAATATTTTCTCTATTTTTCCATCAATATTTCGAAACCGCTACTTAACCGAATATGCACGAAACCCAACCTATATAAAACTTTTCCTACTGGTTCGGTACCAACTAGAAATAACTTTATAAAGTGTTGCATACATTTCTGACATTTCTTTGCTGCATTGAGAGATTCCCGGAAATATGCATAGATTTAATTAGAGATACGCATAGATGACTCATTTGACTATGCGTATTTCTACAATATATACCCACAACAAATGAGTTGTCTTCGACAATTTAGTTCTTCCAACAGCTAATTATGATTTGAGTTGGGTGTGAAATGATATTTTTATACTTACAAATGTCCTAAAATAAACAAAATATGTATGCTATGTGTAGAAAGTACAAATAATGTTTATGTAAACTTGTGCAGTTTCAACTTTTGTTTACATAATAGAAGTTACTTTTCGCCAGAAAAAAATTTTCTTTTGGTTAAATTTTGGTTTTTGTTTTATACAAGTGCCTTAAGGCTAAACTTCTTAAAAATCGGTTTTGCAAATAAATTCATAATTTAAGTGAATCCTTGGTAAGGAAGTCTCCACTAAAAATGATAAAGAAAACTTGTTAATTCGAATTACTACACTAAGTTCTGTAAGTAAAAATTGAGCCTTGAGTATCCAAATGCTGTTTGGATAAAAATTCACCACATTAATATTACTATCTGCTCGGGTAAGAATTCAATATGTGCGAAAGTATAATTCTTCAATCGCGTTAAATACCTCCAATGGTTATGTAAAAAAAAGACAGCTCTTTTTGTAAATTCCCCTCAAAAAATTAAAAATTTTGATTGAACTAAAAGTAAATTTAAACTTATTGTTCAGCTGATTGTTAACGAAATTGCATTACAACTTTTTAAAAGATGATCGCTTTTACAAAATAATTCACCATTTCGTATAAAATTCATCTTTTAATCATATTTGGCTTTCAAATAATGACCAATAGTGGCAGATTAAGCTGCGTTGCATTAAATACCGCAGGTATAAAGCAAAAACCATTATCATACAGTGTTGCATATCCAGTTACCTCAACCTTTCCATTTTTTCACGGACCTCAATTTAAATCCCTCTTCAGATTTTATTTTGGTAATAAAAATGACCACCATCATTAACCCACCCGCATACATCACATTGTTGTAGTAGTATGTGAAAGAAAGTGAACGACAAAACAATTATAAAATCAAAACATAAATACCATATCTGTGTCAAAACGTGTTCTGCTGCGCCACTAAACGTCGCGCTGCAGAACAGGTGCGGCGGCCCGCTTTGTAACACCTTCAACTCCGCTGAGGGCTTTATGTTCCTTTTGTATTTTGGTATCTTTCTTGCTTTTTAGCAATTTCTGCACGTTCATCTTTCAATTCGATATGTGATTTGGCGTTGAAGAGTTTGGAAGCGCAACGAAAGCGCTCACTCAAAAGCAATGAGGAGAAGCAGCAAGGTGTGTGCAATGCAAACAAAATATTAAATAAAAAAAATATATTCATCAAAATATTGCTGGCATTTTGTAAGTACTTTGTTTTGATAGTACTCACAGTTGTATGGCAGACAAGTTACTAAATTTGGGCAACACGCGCGGTTTTCTTATACTAATATCTGAATGACAGTCACAACAGAGAAGAAAACGTAGGCAATACGCTGAAAGGCAGATTATAATATATAATATGTATGTATGTATAACATACCATATACCATATATACGAGTATACGTTTAGGATGTTGTTTGACTTATTTCACTAGAAGGGTAGCTGATAAACCAGCTGTCAAAAAGTAAACACATCTCTTTGATTTTTATTGGCAAATTATCGTGGAAAGACTTACACTTGAACAACGTTTAAAAATCTTGGAAATCTATATCCAGAACTCGCATTCTTTGCGGCAAGCTCACATTTATTCTTTATTGGTGAACTATGTCCACCGCTGAGGCACGTTTCCGGTGTATGGAGTGCGTCAATACATTATACTTAGTAGAGTATTAGTATTTCGAACATTCTTAAAGATACTCTCCAATATGTCTGGCATACAGATGTAGTGAATGTTTGGTATAGTTTGCATGTCGAAGAAATTATTGATACAAACTTTTATAAAACTGAAGATAGAATTAACGTTACTGAAAGTCAAGCGTTATAGTCCAATAATTCTCGACTCTTACTTATTGTAAACACTACGCTGATACTGTAACAGTGTCATGTCCAATATTTTTTTGATTTCGTCGATTCCGTTCCGGTAGTTTTGACGTCAAAGATGCACCAAACTTTGGAAGCCCAATTATTGAAAAAACATATAAAATAATGGGAATCGTTGAGTTCAAACTTAATGTAAGCACTAGTTTCGATTGCCAAGAAGTTAAAATATTAGACAAAAACCAGTTTGGAACCATTTAAATAAGGCTGGATACAAAAAAAAAACTCGATACATGGCTGCCACAATAGTTAACACAAAAATAATATCATGGACCGAGTTTTCATCTGGGAATCATTGCTGAATCGCAATAAAATCGTTCCATTTCTAAAGCGGATGGTTACTGGTGATGAAATGTGGGTCAATGGGGGTTTTCGTCAAG